TTTGCTAAATAATTAAAGCACATTTATATGTATTGCATTATTTTTTGTATGTGTTTTATATAATGATGTTTTCAAATTATCTTTTTTATTAGGCTACAATTACTATAATCACATAAGATACAATGTAAATTTAATATATTTGATAAAAATGTACTTTTATACGAATTATTAGATTAAAAAGTTTACAATTTTTCTAATGTTTGATAAAATATTAGGTAACTAAGTCATTTTCATAATCACTGAATACATATATGGTACCACCATTATAAGGTTCTTTTTCAAGCAGTAATTGAATAATAGTTTAACGTACAACTCATTTATTTGTCTTTTTAATTCACATAGCTAATATTATCTCATTTCCCTTCTCTGGCCTAGTCTTTTCCTTCTTTTATCTTTGACTTCACTTCGCTTCGTTTTGTTGTACCTAAGGTGCATTCGCCATAGTTTCAGCATTACGGCAAACCAGTGTCAAATATATATCGGGAATAGGCGCTCTAGCCAAAACGTGGGAATAGTTGTAAGTTACCTCTATTTTTTTTTTTTTTTAATATGAATTGTTTCAAATCTGTGTAAGAAAAATATACCACAAATTTATCTTATGTTATTTTATACTTAATAAAATTGATTTAACTTGAATAAAAAAATTAATATATACTATAATTTTAGGTCAATTTATTATTTTTAAATTAGTACTCATATATATATATATGTGTGTGTGTGTGTGTGTCGATATGAATAATTATATTTATTTTATTTTATTTGCAATATATTGGTCAACTCAAACATTATTGAAAAGAAATGATGTGATATATTACATATAAAAAGAGTAACAAATAAAAAATATGAAGTATTTCAAAATTAAAAAATTTAATGATAGAAAATAATTAAATTTTTAACTAAAAAATTTTAAGATTAACATACCCAATTTTAAAGAAATATATATATATATTATATTTATTTTATTTTATTTGCAATATATTGGTCAACTCAAACATTATTGAAAAGAAATGATGTGATATATTACATATAAAAAGAGTAACAAATAAAAAATATGAAGTATTTCAAAATTAAAAAATTTAATGATAGAAAATAATTAAATTTTTAACTAAAAAATTTTAAGATTAACATACCCAATTTTAAAGAAATATATATATATATTATATTTATTTTATTTTATTTGCAATATATTGGTCAACTCAAACATTATTGAAAAGAAATGATGTGATATATTACATATAAAAAGAGTAACAAATAAAAAATATGAAGTATTTCAAAATTAAAAAATTTAATGATAGAAAATAATTAAATTTTTAACTAAAAAATTTTAAGATTAACATACCCAATTTTAAAGTATCTTGTTTGTTTTGAAACAAAAATTACTTATTATCATAAATTAAACGACAATTACATTGAATGTGTTATATTTTATATCATATCAAATTTTTCATAATAATAGTTGCACACAATATTATATATAATGCAATTTTTTTTAATATTTTTTTTATAGATTTGGAGTCTTACTTTTACTACAAGAAAATGAGAAAATTCCAACAAATATTACAACAAGAATATAACGATCTTCTTAAGTTGAATTGAGAAAAATCATGTCTTTTGGTTTCTTAAATATATTTTATCTTATTGTGACTGTATTGATTTATTAAAATGTATTACAAATGAGAACGGTGATAGATTATGTAAAGTATAATTTATAAATTACAATGATATGTTATATTGATGGTATATTTTTTCTATTAACTAAATAATGCCTCAAATATAAAATTATTTTGGAATCATCACTGCAATTAGCTTTCCAATGAAATTTCCATTGAATTTTTGCACAATTCCAATGACAGTTTTTCCAACGATTGAAATATGGTCAAAAAAAAATTCCAATGGAAAATCAAGTAATTAAAATCTTTAAATCCACTTGTTGTCGTATGGATGTGTAACAACATCATTAACGCGTATATGACATAAATTAAAGTCGCAAACAACAATAATATGAGATTTTATTAATCGGGGATTTGATCGGTATGTTCTTTGCTGAAGTCCAGATGGTACAAAAAGCATGTTTCTCTTTTGCTGAGGGAACCATAAGCTATATATAGTAACTTTTAGTACACATTGTTCAAGATCTTTAATCATTCAGGATTTGTTCGAAAAGTAGCTTTAAATGGGCGGTTTGATCAGTTGGGCCCACGATCATCATGACGTTGGGTGTGAGATGTAAGGAGGTTACGTAGGTGCCTTGTCACATGCTTGGATATTGATGAACTCGGTTACCCCCGAGGTGGGTCGAGGTGGGTTGTGGTGTCGGTAGACCATGGTGAGATTTGAAGAAGTCGGAAGTCGGTCATGTTGGAAAATCATGGGTAGTCGGTAGTAACATGATGTCGGTGGGAGCAAGTGAGTTATGCCAGTTCGTCACGTCGGTGGGAAGGTTCAATTTCCGAGGGGAAGTGTAATTCCGAGGTCACACACCACGTGCAAAAGAAAAGAATTTTTGTGGCCATCTGACGTGTCTCACCTTTATTTTAAACCGTTGGCATTACGGTTTGTAACTCGTCTTTATTCGAAATTATGCTCGAATTACCAAGTCGGTAGTCAACACCACTAAAGTTCATGTAATTTAATTTTAACTCTGTTGGAATAGCCAATGAAATTTTCCAATGAAAGCAATATTTATGAAATATTCGTTGGAATTTTCTGTAGAATACCTTACTGTTGAATTTTTCATTGCAATATACCTATTTGTTGTAGTCCTCTTAAATATTAATTTTTTATGTAGTATTTATTGATTAATTGTGTTTACAATTTTTCTATTAAAAATATATTAAACACACGAACTTTTTAGTTCCTATATATATATTTTTTTTTCAAAAATTACTCATTATTTTATCTCAAGATTACCTATTAATTTGCCAATTGAGTTACATTTCTTACATATTAAATATTTAAAAATTAGAATATTTCTTATTTTATATGTTCAATATGATATTTATATATTATATTAAAAAAACTAATATAGCAAATAAAAAGTTATTTCAAATTAGAATAACAAAGATTTTTTTTTTTTTGGTAACTTACATGGATAAATGTACAAATAACTATTGTCTATCACATCAAATTTACACATAAAATTATAAGGACAAAAAACTAACAAGCGTTTAACAACTTTGCTCGTTTACGTCGATAAGTATATTTATAAAAGATTTATATTTCTTCTATTAATTATAACATTTTTATTTATTACTTTGTTGCATATTTATTTGTACGTGTCACAACTTATTTATTTTTAATATTGTTTATCATATTTAATATTTTTTTAAACTTTTATCTTGTTCTTTTACATGTTCTTAACTGTCGATTTGTCAAAAAATGCATAATATAAAGTCTAGAATATTTTCAATCATCTGTCTCATTATATATCAATTATTTGTATATCTTATATTATATTATATTTAATTACAATTTTTTTAATTTATACTACAATTAAATATTTATAATTCATAAATTCATCAATAATATTGTCGAGTCAACTTTTGTTCATAAAATTTTAAAAAACATAATTATTTTCAATTATTTGCTTATGTTGAATTAAGAAAAGTTATGGTTTTTTAATTGTAACTGTATTGATGTGTAACATGTATTATAAATGAGAAAGATGACAAATTATGAAAAATATAATTTATAAATTATAATGACATTATGTTATTTTAATGGTATACATTTTCTATTAACTAAATAATGACTCAAGTATGAAATTATTTTGTATCCACCACTGTAGGTAGATTTTGAATATAACTTCCATTGAAATTCTTACAATTCCAGTGACACTTTTTCCAACTGTTGAAATATGACCCGAAAATAATTCAAACGGAAATTCACACAATAAAAATAATGATAATTGGATAAATTAAATCCTCTGAAATTTCAGTATAATGTAATTTGATCTCTGTTGGAATAGTCAATGAAATTTTACAATGACAGCTATACGAATAAAATATCATTTGGGATTTCCAGTGGATGACTTACCGTTGGATTTTTCATTGCAATGTTACATTTTTTTATTCCTTTATAAATTATGTTTTTTATTTACCGTTGGGATCTACGAATTCAATGTTTTCATCATGATTAAAGTTTTATTATGCTAAATCATAAAAGTTAATTAATTATGACTGCTTTAATTTATATCATGATGCCTTTGAAGAAATATTAGAGAGGGTTAATTTACCACTTTTCATTCACAGTTCACATTTATCAATAGCAATAAAAAGGAAGAACACAATTGAACACACCCCATTCAATATCGTCAAACAGATGTATTAATCTACAGTTTAAAATATTAGTTACATTGAGGATTATGAATCGTAAATTTAATTTTCTAATTCATTCAAAGACAATGCAAATTTACATTTGTCCTTAATAAATCGGTCACTATAAAACTCCATAGCGTTTTGCATCAAAATAAATCACCTCAACCAAGTATCACATCTCACACTCAAGTTAATGAAGCGAAGATATATGGTGCAAATTTGCATTTTATAATTACTTTTTGTTTGATCTTCTAACATAAAAAATAATAATAATAATAATAATAATAAAAATAATAATAATAATAATAATAATAATAATAATAATAATAATAATAATAATAATAATAATAATAATAATAATAAGGTACCTATCCCCTTTTAACAAATGTAGCAATAAATATCATACTATTGAGAACTCTGTTTGAAATAATATTTATAAAATAGGGAGGTGCTGAAGTCTCCACACATGCAAGTACCTATTTTATCAAACGAGAAATAAAAAACAAAATTAAGAAGAAAACACCGAATGCAAGCGAGATGAAGCTTGAGAGTTTATCAGAAAATTTGGCCACATTAAAATAAAGGGATTACATTGTTTATTCATTTTCACCTGAAATTCTATCATTAAGCAAGCTCTCTTTCAAGGAGTACATTTTTTTTTTGTTTTTTATTTTCACCTGAAATTTATTTAAGATTACACGTTACGTTAATCTTTTTGAAGGACAAAAGCGTTGTGCGGTTCTTCAAGTCCTGGACCCACACGACCGCTTTGTAGCTCCTGCGATCGCCGTCGCAGCTCCCCATAGGTGTGGTGCATTTATCGTAATCGGTGGCTGTTTCAAACAGATTGTACATTTGTCCCGAGACGTTCACATGTTTGTAGCCGTTGCACAATTTTTCGAATACCAAATTCCTTTTTTTCTCTTTGTTGTGCTCGATCACTGTGTAATTTGCGAGCGCATTCATGTCCTTGCTCTTGATTTCGTCTGGCGTGAGAGCCATCCAGCCGTCGCCGCTGTGGCAGGCTATGTTGGGAACAAAACACAACAGACTCAACAAGATCAATGAAAATAGGAAACATCGAGATTCGAGGGCCATATTTTCGTAATTTATTTTCTTTCTTTTTACTATATATTTTTTTTTTGGTTTCTCGTTGGTGTGTGTGGTGTGAGGGTAAAATATTATTTAGAGCAATAAAATTTTTGAAAAGGCAAGGCAGTTTTGGGCAAGGGTCGCAAACCAGTGGCGCAAATAATAAAAAATGTTAAAATAAAGTAAACTTTTATTTTAGTCCGTAAAAAAATGTTAAAAATATTAACAAAATGGAATCATATTCAAAATGGAATGATTACAAACTTGAAATGCATTTTAGCAGCGGTGGACCCAGGGTTTTGAAATAGAGACTTATCAAATACAAATAGATTGAGTTATAGATTTACCACGCTACTAAACATATACCTTTTAAATGAACAGACTCTATCATTAAACAATTAAGAATATTAAATTTTAAAGAACTATTGACAAAATTATTGGATACATTCATCCCACCTATCCATATCTTCACCTCTCGAGAATCCAGAGTGACTGATCATTAAACATGCGTATATATATGGTAATTATTAAGATCAGTTTAGGATCTTCGAATTCAACGTTTTTCATCATGATGAAAGTTTTATTATACTAAATCATCAAAGTTAATTATGACTCATTAAATTTATGTCATGATGCCTTTGTAGATTTAGAGGAGAGAGGGCTAAGTATATCTCATATTGTTCACCATTCAAAATTATCAACTGCAAAAAAGAGAAGAAAAACAAAACATAAGGAACAAAATTGAATACACCCCATTGCTTATCATCAAATAGATGTATTAATCTTCAATTCAACTATTATATATTTTAAAAATATAGTTACATTGAGAATTATGAATCATAAATTCAATTTTCTCATTCATTCGAAGACAATACAAATTTGCATTTGTCCTTAATAAATCGGTCACTATAAAACTCCACAGCGTTTTGCATCAAAATAAATCACCCCTACCATACAAGTATCACATCTCACGCACAAGTTAATTAAGCAAAGATATATGGTGCAAATTTGCATTTTACTTTTTGTTTGACCTTCTAACCATAATAATAATAATAATAATAATAATAATAATAATAATAATAATAATATAGGTACCTATACCCTTCTAAGAAATGTAGCAATAAATATCATACTATTGAGAACTCTAGTTGAAATTATATTTCTAAAATAGGGAGGTACTCAATTCTCCACACATGCAAGTACCCATTTCGAGCACATAGTTGAATAGAGGGTTCGTTGGCGACGCTTAGCAAAAAACAAAACTCAATTCCGAGTTCGGACGAGCCCAATCGAGCCCAAAACGTAAAATTGTGAAGTGCAGTACAAAGTCGCAACTCACGAGAAAAACAGAGCCTGAAGGTGCAGTTTGTGAGCTCAAGTCGCGACTCGCGACATGAAAGTCGCAACTCGCGAGATATGTCGCGACCAACCCCAGATTTTGAAGAAATTGACGACGCGCGAATCGCAAGGAAGTCGCGATTCACGACTCGAGGTGACATGGAAATTGCCACTCGTGACTTATCGACCTGAATTTCGAGATGCGGGTTTTAACATCAGATTTGGACCTAGGGTTCCTTATTCGACTCCAGACTTTGTTTTTAGACTTTTTCTCTCTAGAAATTCATTTCGTTCATTACTTTTTCTCTTTTAATTTGATTTGGAGATTGAAAAACTCCTCTCTTGTTTTGGATTTGGATTGTTCATTGGATTCGACTATTGGTTCTCTGTTAATCGTAAGTTTTCCTTTTCAATTAATCCTTGAATATGAATGCTTGGGTTCTTGAGATGAATTGTGTTGAATTTCATATGAGTAACTAATTCGTTCGTTAAGGATAAGGGATGATGATGATGTTTAGAATTAAATTATGATTATCATGCTTGTTGATCGTTAAATTTATGCGAGTTGTGCTTAACTAGGGTTTATAATTCTCGTACATTGAATGTTGAATATTGATGAAGAGTGACACTTCGATTTGCAATTGATTTTCAATTGAATATGATTCATTCTTGCGTTGCGTGTTTAAATCCAATGAACTAGTAGATTAACAATCGTCTAGTATAATGAATCAACTCTTAGAACCGAAAGGGGAGGAGTTGATCGATCTAGGCTCGCATGAAATAGACTTGTTCGGAAACGTATTGTCTATGTGTTGTATGATTTGTGTGATTTACCGTCTATGTTACCCTCTTGTTACGAAGAGTTATTGAGGACTATCTCTAAACGTTAGGTTGTTCGAACCATTTAACTGAATGATCTTAGCTTGATATTTGCATTGGTTAGGAAATCATCATCCCTGACTCCTTAGCTTCTTATCATCATTTGATCTTCGTCTTAGCTTTTTAACTCAATTTTGCATTGTTTGAGTTTTCCTTCGTAATTGATAATTAAAACAACCATCTTGATTAGAGTGTTTAGGATTTATTTTCTTTTCGTGTGTGATCAATACCAACTCTAAATTTCGAACCGTCTTCCTCGAGAGATCAACCCGGGAAACGAATCTTGTGATTTGGTACCCGGTAATAAATATATTTTGCTAAACAGTGGCTCAAACAGGGGTGGGTCTAGAAAATAAAGTTAGGGGGGACTAAAACAGTTAACGAACGGAATTATATTCGTATGATTCGTGAAACTGAAGTTCAGCTCGCTAATATATTTAAACGAGTCAAGTTATAACAATTATTCGTGCTTATTTCTGGAATGAGGGGCTTATTATATGGGCCGACTTCGAGTTCACATTTTTCTTTGTTTATTAAATGGTCTAGCCGAGTCGACTCATTTATTAAATGAACACAAGCTTGAATATGAGGTATTTGACCTGACTCGGGTCGAATGATATCTCTAGAGGACTATATAATTTTTAATATCTCTCTTTCTCTCATTTATTCTAATGTATTTTCTATAGCTAAAAAAATTATGTGGAGATTAAGTATATATAAAATAAATGAGTATAAACAAAATTCTACAGACTTATGTCTCCGCATAACCAGATATACAGAAGACTGGATGTTATTATGATATTAAAAATAAAATATATAAGAAAATATCATATTTGAAAATAATAAAATTATTAACTATAATTCATAAAAATGTGTGTCATTTTAAATAGTAAATACTCTATTATTTATTTGTTATACAATTATTTTTATAATTTCACCATAAGAATATTGACAATTTTATGTACTAATTTTTTATCATAATAATATTTTTTCAAGCACCCGTGTAGTATACGTGTGTCATACTAAAAAATTTTTATGGTGCCCATAAGCCATGCCACAATATGATGTGGCATATGAAGTGGCCTTTTTTATTTTAATTAACAATTCCATGGCATATATGATGTGGCATTTTTAAAGATTTAATTACTTAACACAATTAAGAAACCCTCCAATTTGAAATTATTCCCAAAATTATATACGTGATGCTTTTATAAAAAGAAATTCCATGGAGAATCAAACATAAATTCCTTTCAAACCCGTTAGCAAGTTTCTAAAATAAAAAGAAATTCCATGGAGAATTTGTCTGGCAGTTTTTCTGTGATGGTTAATATGGCTTTGGTTGGGATTGAGTACTGCCAAACCAATCAAGTAAGCAAGCAGAAAGGGAGAACCTTCAAAGAATTTGAATTGAATTTTTAGTATCTCTAAAAATTATAAATTTCTTGATTGAATTTGTGACCTCAGTGAGATGATTTGTAACAATTTTTAAGTACATTTATGTAAGTTAATTAAAAGTCTAAAGATACAATATGAAAATGGTTACACGTAGTTCAACAAATTTAGTAATCTTTATATAGATATATACATACATAATAAGGATGTAACATTTTAATTTTGGCTGAAATTTTATCCTCTGTTTTTACATACTAAAATTGGAAGTCTTTATTATTTTTCTTTTAAAGTCATTTTCATTAAATATTAAGGTATATAAGTATTTTATCATATTAAATAAATATTTTATATTGTTAATTAGTCTTTGATTTTTAATTTTTTTGAGTTAAATATTAATGTTATTTTTAAATTTTTGAATTGAATATTCAATCATCTAACCAAAGAAATTATAACCTTTTTATTTCACGCATTTTTGTGAGTAACATATCAAATGAATTTTCTTCCAATAGTTTTTTGTTTAAGACCATATTTCATATACAAAATGAATAATAACTTTTTACTTGATATCAAATAAACTATTTTTTATATATCAAAATAAATATAATAATTGGTCTAAAGTTTACATATATATAATCGCAAACATGTAATATGTAAAAAAATTAGCATAAATAATGTAAACTAGTATTTTGTTAATATATAATTTTATGTAGGTTTGAACTATTTTTAATAATACTAGTAAAGTGCACGTGCGATGCACGTGGTGGCGAATTTTTTCCCAATTAAGTTTAGTAAAATAAATGAATTAATTTATTAAAAATATCATTGCAAGAATGAAATAAAACGTAGAACAAATGAGCTCATAATGTAATCGTTTTCTGCCGATTAAGTTTTGTAAAATAAATAAATTAATTTATTAAATATATCCTTGCAAGAATGAAACAAAATGTAGAACAAATTAATGAAACAAAATATAGAAACAAATTATTTTTTCTAAAATAACTTAACGATGTCCTAATATAAAAATAATTAAATAACATATTACAACCCCAACAAAAACACTAAATAACTAAATAATGACTAATATATATTATACATGCATTAATTCTTTTATTTGTTTATGTTAGATGATTCGATAATGTTCTCTTTCATTTTGGTTTTGACGTCCTCATAAGAAGCATTATTGATTCAATAGTATTGCAAAATTCATCTTAATTCATTTGACAAAACGTCTACTTTATTCAAACACTTAAGAAATATTCTAACCAAACATATAGTGAAACTTCATGGTTGTATTATCTTTATATTTCTATTAACCATGCATGAATATATCTGCAAAATAATAAATCGTGTCATTAAAATTGTTGATTATTTTTTATCATTGTATAAACTATTAAATT